CTCTAACCTGGTTAAAATCCTTTCCATTTTTGGTAATATTTAGTCATTTTCGGGTGCAGACTTCTCAAATATTTAGCAGCATTGTTTTTCCCCGCGTCACTGCGGGTAGGTGCAGATTTATTCTTGCAGGATTCAGATTGCATTCACCTTATTTTTGAAACAGTCTTATAACAAGACAATTTTATAAAACTAGGTAAGTCACAAGGTAAGTGGTAAGGAGAACGTGGAGACTGTTCCAGGGAAGCCCCCTGAAACCTGACAGCTCTGCCAGGTTACCCGACCAGAAAGATGAAAGATAGGCTTGGTGCTGAAACATGAGTTTTCCACAAGCTGAGGGTCTTTCTGGTAACAGTGTAGGAGTGATTCACACATTTCCACACAACTAATGTATTCGCCCTCTTGCGGTTTTTGACTTCAACTCCTGAAATTGTCTGCAGCGGTTTGTATAGCTTGCAGTTCTCGATGTTTCACAGATTAACGTGGATTAACGTGCTGGCACATAATTATTCAAACAAGACAAGGCAGGTTTCTGAATCATTACAAAGTAAGCAATAAACAACAACAAAAAAAGAAAACGTATTTATCTTCTGAAATTCTCGATTTTCTTCTTCTTTAAACAAAGGAAATGGCTCGACATAGTTCCGGATTCCCGGAAGGCTGGAGGAAAGCTGACTAAATGCAACATTGCACCAGAGATATTATCAAACTTAAGGGACGGAAACTAATAAGATCAATTTATGTTCAAGGTGTAAAACAAAGGGAAACACTTTTCTGCAAAAACAGAAATATTCCGATCAAAAACCTGTAAAGATCATAATCCAGGAAATTACTGTCCTCCAGTTTGGTTAGACAGATTTCCGACTTATTGGTGGGTAAACTCTTTGAGTAAGTGACAAACTGAATGTGGTGTGAAGCACTTTGGGGTCCTCTGGACATCATAAGGTGCCAAAATAGTAATAGCAGTAATAGTATAGCAATAATGGCAAGTACATACCATTCATCATTTAATTCTTTGTGTTTTCCAGGTTAATCAAAGTAAAGGTTCAATGATGTGCAAAAAGCAAGATGTTAGAGAGCTGAAACATTTTATTATTTGAACAGCAATTCAAGAGAAGGCTGGTACATATTTCCAGCAGTCATTGGGTCAGGTAAAAAAAAAAAAAACTTCAACAAAATGCAATCACTAAATCAAAGAAATACAGCAGCATAGCCTTTCTGAAGTCACTCAACAACAGGACTTTGTTTTGCAGTTGAGCAGGCCAGTGATGAAGATGCTCCTCTGCAATGTGCTGCATGCACGATACACCAGGACACACGGTGAAGGTTCATAAGCTAAGGGTAAACTGTGCACATAGGAAGTTAAGCTGCAAGCTACAAATTATGACGTGAAGATGCAGCCGCAGGTCACAGACAGAGAAGACAAACCCAGCATGTGTTCAGTGAGAGATACTGTTAAAGCAGAGATAATGTACAATAATGGCGACGTCTAGAAGCTCAAATCCTGCAGAAAAGTCCCAGTCCTATAAAATATATCATCCTGCTTATTTAATTCTGCGTCACTGTGAGTTACTGGTTGTAATTTCCACTGCAACAGCAAACATTGAGTCTTAAAGCCCTTTGCTGGTACACATTTCCTGTAATTAGCACTGGCATGTCAGACAGTATTATTCTTTCATTCTTTGTTAGGATATTTTCCAATCTGTAAAACTGAACCACACAAAGATCATGAGTTTTACTGCCTTCCTGGCCCTCAACCCGCTCGGGACCAAAGGTCAGTGAGCTCTGAGCTCCCCAGCAAAAGGGAGAACACTTTAATGAGAAAACGTTATGCTGCTGGACAGTGGAAAATTACATTCAACTCACCCCCATCTGGTGAACAAAGAAGACAAAACTTTACTTGAGAAAAGGCAAAACTATTTAAAGTGTGTAGCTTGTGCACAACAGTTATATTTTTGAACATTCTTAATCATGCAAACATAAAAGATAAAAAAAATAAACAAAATGATAAGAAATAAAACCTTAACATTTCTAACACTCTTCCTAAACGTATATGAAGCCTTTAGCACACTTTTTAATATGCAGACATTTAATGCAGTTCAGGATTATGTTATCATGATCTGCCCCTGAATCCTAAGACAGTTGGTCTGAAAGCTTCAACATGACAATAACACAGAAACAATCCTAAAAGCTCATTAAAAAAGTTTTCCCCAATAAAGACGTAACTTCTAAGGCTGAGAAATACTCCAATGTACTGATGAGGATTTTTGCAAACCCTTATGGTGTTGCTGAACATACAGCATCCTCATCTGAGACCACTGCATCACACAGTATCAGAAGATCATCTGTCTGTACATAAGAAATCAGACTTTAAGGTTATGGAAGTCACAGTAGTTTGCTAAGGCTTTCATCTCTTTTGAACCTTTTCACATTTTTTCACGTTGAAGCCACATCTTACCAGGCCCTGCGACAGACTGGTGACCTGTACAGGGTGAACCCCGCCTGTCGCCCGAAACGTTCGCTGGAGATAGGCACCAGCACCCCTCTCGAACCCACTAAGGGATACGGGGGAACAGAAAATGGATGGATGGATGGATGGATGGATGGATGGATGGATGGATGGATGGATGGATGGATGGATGGATGGATGGATGGATGGATGGATGGATGGATGGATCTTACCAGATCAATACAAAGTTGAGCATTCTTCATCAGAAAGATGGCTAGATGGTTTTTATACCTTTTTAATAATCACCCACTCTGGGAACCCCCTTTACGCCAATGCTCCATAATAAAATGGACTGCAACTAAGTCATTTAACTTGCAAAGAGAGTTCACTTGTGTTTTAAACTCATTTTCAGTAGCTTCTGCACAGGCTTCTAGCAGCCAGAAAGTGACAGCTCAGGGGTGAGAATATGATAACTTACCTGCAATTACTCACAACTCTTGCCTTATAGGAAGTGTTAAAAATGAAGTCGTTCTAAGAAAACCGTAAGGCCTAGTTGCAGTTTTCCACAAGCCATAAGTGGCACAGGAAAGATGTGAGGGAAGGTGCTCTGGTCAGATAAAACCAAAGCTAAACTTTCTGACCGCGTGCTAAAAAGCAATCTGCAAGATTGCACATAACCCTAAACACGCTGTGGACTCTGCTTGCTGAATGCAAAAGCACACCACAATTTTCAGATCTTTCTTTGTAAAACATTTTCAGTACCATCATTTTTGGCTTTATTGCACAATTATGCTGTACATGGTTGTGAAATAAAGCTAGGCCTGTTACATAAAATCCTACTAAAATACACCGATGTTCATTGGTACCATAATACAGAAGCGGCATTATGATTAAATAATCTTTGTGGTCCTGCACCTTAATTTCTTGCGAGCTGTTTATTTTTCTGTGGTTGCTTGCATCAAATTGCAACAGCATGATAGAGACGCATATCAGAGGCGCGGTTTGTGTTGTTTCTTCCTGTCTGATTCTTAATAAAAGGTCTAAGTGATAAAAATCTATCACCACATACTCTTAGTGCGCAGGGTGGGATTTTTTTTCTTTCTTCGTTTTCTGTCATTTCAGTTATTTTCTGTTACTTGCAAGCTGCAACCCCCCTGCTCCCCCCACACACATCAACTTTCCACTTCAATGATATTAATCAGAAGGAGGCACACACTCATGGTGACAGTGCTGAATTGGTATATTTTCATTTTGTTGGAAATCATAATGGGGTCAAACAGAGTATTAAATGTCCAAGACCAAGTCAGGGTTTTTCTGTTTTTTTTTGTTGTTTTTTTTTTGGAAAAACAAGACTAAACATGGAGATATTCCTGGTTTTTCACTTCCCAAAAGACTTGGGAAATGAGTTACATCTTTATTATTATTCTTGTTAATAAGGCACAATGAATTACCCTACACTAATATTTATGAAATGTTCAAACAAAATTAACACAACAAGACTTGGTATTAACATGATAGGCTTTGATAAGCTAACTATGTAGCTATCATGAAGTCTAATTCATTTATCTATGCCATTTATCCATGGAAGGTCGTGGTGGCAGTAGGCATGTCACAATAAGCAATAAATCAATTAATCACATGATAACTTAAAACGAGCTCAATAATTTGCATTTGCATAATTTGTCATTTTTCTCTTTCCACCAAAAACTGGAAGACAAATGACCTCGGACTCAGATTTGGTCTCAACTGCCCCCCTCCCCCCCTTTTTTTTAAAAAAGATAAATATGTTTACAGAGACTTCATAATTCATTTTATTTGTAGTTTCTGTTGTCTTCTTTATTTGTTTACTTTTTTTGGATATTTAAAATGTCTTCCAGTTCCAGTATTAAATGTTGACTAAAATTTAAAGTTTATTAATCTTTGAGAACGTGTTCTTGTATTATTATATCATTGCCATTTTGTTACTTGAAAAGGGTCTCAAAACAACAATATTATCGCTTATCGCAATAACTTCTTGGACAATTTATCGTCCAGCAAAATGTGTTATTGTGACAGGCCTCAGTGCCTATCCGTGGCAGTCATAGGCAGGATACACCCTGGACAGGTCGCCAGTTCATCACAGAGCAACACAGAGACACATGGACACACTGATACCTAAGGGAAAGAGAGAACAATTCCTCTAACAGCCATGTTTGTGGACATTGTGTGGAATCTGGAGTAAAACAAAGAGAATGCTGTAATAAGACAAATTTTTTCATGATATGAAAATATTTTCTTCTGTGTTTGTCATATTTCTATGGAGTCCAAAATGTGTCCATATGTCCTGGATAATTCTGTGAATGAAGGTTCTTGAATCACTGACTTCAGTCACAGTGCATGCCATGTGAATCTCCCTAAATATTTGAATAAGCCTTTTTTCATAATCCTCTCAAGGCTGCCACCCCTTTGACTTGGACCCAGCTCAGCTTTTGTTTTATAGCAATAACCTTTTGTTATTTTCCTTCCAGCCGCCTTTTAGATTTACAGACACGTCCCCTTTAAGACTCAACTTTCTTTGGGTATCACGTGGCACTTGTTGTAGGTCACGTGAGTTTGTTTTGGCTGAGTCGCGGCTCAATATTGCAACTTCAATCCATGGCAAGAAACGAGGAGAAACAACAGGGAAGACTGAACAGACTGTGGCTACAGAAAGAGAGAGAGGGTAAATAGTTACCGTCTGTAGAACATGGCGCCATTTTATTCATATTCTGCTAATAAGAACCCTGCGGGTTTCCCAGCAGCTAGCTTTACCTGTTAGCTTCACTCGTGCTAAGTTGTTGCTGTCAATGCAGGGATACATTATTATTATTATTATTATTATTATTATTATTATTATTATAAATCTATATCCCACATAAAGTAGCGGGTTTTTTGTTGTTGTTTTGTTCTGAGCAGGTGAACTAATGAAACATTTATTTTCCAGAGGGACGGCTTAAAGATGTAAATAAGCGTCGACCCAAACTGGTAACGAATCTAATAAAATGTCTTTTTAAAGCCACTGAAGCCGAACTCTTTAACGAAGAATACACTTTAAACCACGTCTCTTCACAGTCTACTCTGAATTCAGCTCCGTCTGTAAAAAAGTGGATTCCCAGCATCAAAAGTGAGATCGAGTATTACCTGCAGGTAAGAGAGCTGCTTGGTGAGTTGTAAAGGGATCATCGGTCCTTGTTTGTTGACCCAGTATTCTGCATAGTTTTGTTTTGTTTGTCCACTCCTCAGCAATCCCAGCTTCCTCATTACCCAGAGAGGAAGATAGCTGAGTTCCAGCTGCACATCGAGGCTTTGGAAAAAGAATACAAAAGCTTCATCAGCAAGTTACGAGCTCTAGACCCCTCATGCAAGCACAAACCATGGACTCCCAGAGCCTACAGCAAACGGAGAGGAGAGGCTCAAAACCCTCCAAATGCCGGTCAGTGCTTTGGT